AGGTATAGTTTAGCCGTAAAAGGGGTGTAAAGAAAACATGATTGCCTATTTATATATAAGATATAACTCAATTCTGTAGCTACTCCAAATCGCCCTAACTAAGTCTTATGACTGAGCAATTGTATATAGAAGCATTGCGAATGAGTCAAGAAAATTTTTAAGCGCTTATATTTTGTCACCTACTTCACCGCTTTAAAATCCGACAGTTTTTTGATAATCTATGGAGCTGGCACCTTAGTCTGATATATAACTGAATTCTGTAGCTACTCCAGATCGCAGTAACTAAGTCGTATGACTGAGCAATTATATAAAGAAGCATTGAGAATGAGTCAAGAAAATGTTTAAACGCTTATATTTTGTCACCACCTTAGTTTCGTTGGATAAAACCATTTCCTTGACCTTTCTAATGACCTTCAAAGGGAAGGATTTAAGATTTTTTTCTTTTTTTGACCTGAAATTAGTATGCAGTGAAATTTTAAAAATGTTTTAACTACATATTTTTGCTGCTTTTGCGTAAAAAAATCCATTTCAATGGTCGTAAAACCGAAAAATGCATTTAAAATTAAAATTTAGGTAAAAAATACAGAAATCAAAATTTTCGCTTTTGAGGGTCAAGGTAGTTTTTTATTCAATGTGACCTTTAAAATTACTTTCAAAAGTAAAATTTTATATATTTTATATTTTTTTGCCTAAAAAAGGATGTAATGAACTCTTCAAAAATTTTGTTGAATGCGTTTTTCGGTTCTTGCGGCCGTGGAAATGGATACCTTCCCATAAGAATAGCAAAAATATGTGCTTAAAACTTTTTAAAAGGTTCACTGCATTCTATTTTTAGTTTAAAAAAGCGTTGTAAAAAGGAAACAAATATAAAACCCCTTCATTTGAAAGGTCAAGGTATTTTTTTATTAATCGAAACTATAATGCCTGAATTATTCATCTCAAAAGCCTTAAAACGCAATTGAATTTTTTTCGCTAGCTGTTCTCGTTCTCAAAATATTAGAATTTGTCACGAAAAAAGTTCAATTTCCACACTGTGCGGCGCTGTACAAAGCTAACGCAAGGACCAGATATATACACAGAGCAATTTAGGACCATTGACGTTATAAGCAGTTATTTGTTATATTTGTTTATACGTTAGTTTGTTCAGGAATGTTTAAAGATTACAATAAAAGGTTTTAAACAGCACTGGCAATTCATGCAAATTTACGCTTACAAGAAAACCAAACATACATATCACCTACGGTAAAAAAATAGCACCAACTGAAGTTAGCCTCACGCTTTTTTTTCATTGAGAAATATGGAATTTAGTGTATGCATTTACCTAATCTCGAAAATTACGATATTGCGAAATATGGTACAGTTTTGGCTATTACTATGCCCCCTCCCCTCTCGACCAAAGATCTGTTGGTATCATGTGTTAAAAACTAGTATGAAATAGCATTCGAAACCTTGGTGGACTTATGAATGCATTATTTAAAAAGTGAATATTTGCCAATTCCTCTGTCCATTTGTAAATATTCATGGCTTTCAGAAATCAGTATTTCAATAACAGGCTTATATTTTTTTACCTGGTGTAACTTTTTAATGCCTCAAAGAGATCGTGAGGATTAAAGTCTTATATAATTGCAGTAGCAGTAGTTTTCTCGTAACGCGCCTATAATAAAATTAAAACGAAGATAATAATTTATTCATAAGAAGTGAAATACTTTTGAATTTGCTGATACTAAACGTAAACTGTATTTTTTT